CAATTCCCACTTCCCTGGGAGTAAGTCCCATTAAACTCAATAGGGCATCCTTCTGATTAGACGTGTACAGGACTGCACAGTCCACCCTATTTTCTAAATCAAATCCTGGAGAAGATAAACATTGAAATTATCTGTCTGACAGAACATAGACTTTCCACCCAATAGTCGAAGAGGACAAGACTGGTGTGTGTGGGTGTGGGTGTTAAGGAAAATGTAAGTTGAGCTGTTAATGTGCGTAAGAACCAGTCACTGTGCACATTCACTAGGGTTCATGGCGAATGTGTGCATATCCATTCCACGAAGAAGGAATTGTGCACATAAACCTGTTTTAATCTCCAACAAGCCTCGGGAAATATGCATATCTCGGCTAAATTTTGTACTATTTAGTTTCCTCCATGGGTGTCTAATGTGCTGCTCTTCCTGGCAACCTCCTTTTCTCGTTGGCCTCCTTTTTGTGCATAAATCAGTCTTTGCCAACCTGGTACCCTCCAGATGTTTTAGACCACAACTCCCATCACCAGACATGTCAGGGGTGGCTGACAAGAGTTGTGGTCTGACACATTGGGAGGGTACACGCCGTTGCAGCATGCATGGAGAAGTCTAGATCCAACATGTTAATTTTATTAGCCATGACTGTATCAGCTATGAAAGTTATCATAAGGTGTGTTTTTTCCCCTTGGTTGTTTTTTTTAAAGGATTCTATCTATATATCCCAAACAACCTTAGTTATTATGGGCACAACCCACAAAGAATGTCTCTTCCATGAGTCCCTCTGAAATGAATGGGGACTGCACCATCATTTCAGTGCAGGAGGACGTCCCAGTGGGATGTGCACCCAAATCTTTTCAACCCCCTGGGCCTTGTCCAGTCAGTGGGAAGAATTCCACAACAACCTCATGTCTTAGTAACTTGTTGAAAAATAGGTGGATCTCAGGAGCTTCTCCCAGGAGTGGGGGCCTCCACCGTGCTGAGATCTGCCTGTAGCTTAGAGACACGAAGGGATGGCAACCCTCCCTCACCTCCGACACTTGGTGCCCGGCCTGTCTTCTCAATGCCATGCCAGGGAACCGAGAGGCGGTCTTCTCTCAATCTCAGCCTCTGTCCACATCTTAGTTCTTAGCAATGTGCCTAGAAGCAGAAGGCTTTCCACTCGTTAAGACAAAACAAACTACTGTACAGTGACTGTGACATGTGGTTCCATTTTTATTGTAATGAAATTTAGCCGTAATGGAAACAATACTGACGATGATTATGATATTATTATTATTATTATTATTATTAAGAAGAAGAATTAATAAGAAGAATTAAAATAATTACTGTTTGATTACGCCAGGCCCAGAGCATTGCTTGGGAGGCATGCTGAGGGGCCTGGTCAACCTTTGACATCGTGGCTCTCTGGTTTCTTATTTGAATTTTATAGGGACATAATAAGCTGCCTTATACTGAATCAGACCATGGGTCCATCTAGCTCAGCGTTTGTCTTTGTTGACTGGCTCTCTGGGATTTCAGGCTGGGTTCCCTCCCAGCTCCACCTGGAGATGTCAGCGACTGAACCTGGGGAACTCCTGCCTTCAAAGCAGGTGTTTAACCACTGAACAGTGGCCTTTCTCCTAGGTGGTGAAAGGGAAGTCTGTCTGCCGCTGGCTTGAGGAAAGATGATTGGCACTGTAGACATTATGGAGAACTGTTCAAAAGGCCACTGGAGAAGACCCATGTTCTTCTATGGGATCAGGGTGGCTCACATGTCCAACTTTACAGAGGACGGTCCTCCATTGGAAGGGCTGCCAGTCGTCTGTTTGAAACCGTCCTCTGTTTCATTGGTCTTCAGCTGGTGGGACATGGCCTGATCTCAGGTGGGTTACAGCAGCAGCAGCAGCAGCAGCAGTGAGCAAATAGACGGTACAGAATTAAGAAACAAGTCCCCAGATGAAGACTACTGCTTTAATGGAAAGGGTGTCCAGTCCAGGAATGATTTAACGATACAAGAACCATAAGGAGGGAGAGCAAGAGAGGCCTCAGAGTTGGCCAGCCACCACCATCAGCATTTGGACAACAGACTGAGCAGGCAGGCACAGAGGACACCTGGTCACAGTCTTCCCTACTATGGAGAGATGAACTGTATTTCTATTTAAATTACAGTAATCATTTCTAAGTTTGCATCTGTACATATAAATTAGCACATGCAAATTTTATGCAAATCTGTATCCTCTTTTGTCCTCTTTCTTTCTTTCTTTTTTGGTGATGGATAAATGGCCACTCTAAGGAGTACACACCCACCCACCGACTGTCCCCATTGGTGTGGGAAAATGTTTATTCACTGGTACGTGTCCCGGCTGTATCTTCCCCCTGTTTTCATTGATGCTTTTTTTAAAAGGGTGGGGGGAAGGGAAATGTGCTCATGGTCAGTTTACTGCCACCTCCTGCTTCAGAAGCCAGCACACAACTGTCTGTTGCAAAAAAAAAAAGTGGATATCTACAGCCAGAGTTGCCAGCTTTTCAACCATTCCCCGTAGCTGTGCCTTCAATAGTAGCAGGAGCTCCAGCAATTACATTTTTTCTCAGTTATGATTACGTTACGGTGGTACTTCAGGTTAAGAACTTAATTTGTTCCAGAGATCTGTTCTTAACCTGAGGTACCACTTTAGCTAATGGGGCCTCCCGCTGCCATCGCGCCACCGCTGTGTGATTTCTGTTCTCATCCTGAAGTAAAATTCTTAACCCGAGTTACTACTTCTGGGTTAGCGGAGTCTGTAACCTGAAGCGTTTGTAACCTGAAGAGTTTGTAACCCGAGGTACCACTGTATATACTGGTTAATGTCAAAATAGGCTTCTTGGTGGTTTACAAGGACACAAATCAATTCAAACACTGAAATATGAAAACCAGTCAAACCCTTGGAATAGAAACATGCATGGACAGTGTGGCATAGTGGTTACAGCATTGGACTAGGACTTGGCCGACCAGGCTTCAAAAATCCCCACTCAGTCATTGAAGCTCACTGGGTGACTTTCCAGCTCGTCACTGTCTCTCAGCCTAACCTGCCTTGAAGGGTTGTTGTCAAGGATAAAATGGGGAGGGGGAGAATGATGTGCACCACCTTGAGTCCGGGGGGGGGGGGAAATGTAATGATAGATAGATAGATAGATAGATAGATGATAGATAGATAGATAGATAGATAGATAGATAGATAGATGATAGATAGATAGATAGATAGATGATAGATAGATAGATAGATAGATGATAGATAGATAGATAGATAGATAGATAGATAGATAGATAGATAGATAGATAGATAGATGATAGATAGATAGATAGAACCGGCAATAAAGCGATCTCATTAAAACAACACAGTAATTAACAGAGGAGGCTCAGTAAGGAGGAATGTCTGGGTAAAACCTGTGGCAGTGATCTGGTTCGAGATTAAAGACACAGCAATAAGGGTATGCTTAAAAAGCTGACAACTCCACATTCAGCAGGCCAAGACAATGTTTCGGTCCCTTCTACATTTTTAATCTGTGAAGCACAGGCAAGTTTCAGTCTGGCCTTCCTTCAGAGAGTGGGCCAAGCCAAGGCAAGATGCTTGGTGGGTGACGCACCACTGAAAGCCAGAAAAGCAAGCTGGAGTTCATTTCCAAAAGTCCAAGCAGGTAAGCAAGTTGTGGGGAGGGAAGCAAGAAGCCTACACCGGGGAGGCTGAAGAAACAAGAGAAGCTGATCCAGGCAGAGATGATGCGAGGTGCAGGAGGAGGTGCTTCATTGTGCAATGTCTCTGAACAGTAAAAGGACATTAATGTAAAGGGAGAGGGCGAAGTGGATGGTGGCCTTCAGGGGTGGAGGACCTCCATTATTACACCAAGTCATGGAGGATAAGACTACCAAGGCCTTCTAGTCACAGTGAGTGTGTTCTGCCTCCACTCCGCCTCTGAAGGCCAGTTGCTGGAAATACAGGAGGGGAGAGGGTACTTGTGCTCAGGTCCTGCTTGCATGCTTCCCTGTGGGGCATCTGGCTGAGAACAGGATGCTGGACTAGATGGGCATTCGGTATAGAGTCCAGCAGGCTTTTCTTATGTTCCTATGTCAGCATCTGGAACACCCTGAACCATATCCGGCCAATGAAGGTCCGTTTCTGCCTGCATAGTTTCAACGGTGGAGGCAAAGGCACAGGGCTTCCAAAGTCCCACAAACAGCACGCTGAAAGCCCCAGCAATCGCTGAGGACTGGTGCATGTGGAGGTCAGTGCACATGGATTTGCAAGTACCACTGATCAGCTGATCATCACTTCCTGCAAAAAAAACAACAACCAACCTCAACTGCATCTTTATTTATCCCACACCTCTATGACCAGGTTGGGGAACCTGTGGCCCTCCAGATGTTGTTGCTGGACTGCAACTCCCATCATCCCTAACCATTGGCCATTATTGCTGAGGCTGATGAGAACTGGCAGCCAACAACATTTGAAGGTCCAGAGGTTCCCCAGCCCTGATATGTGACATCAGGTGGGCATCAGGCAGCTTGGTGGGGCTTGGCCAAAACAGCCTTGCAGGCCAAATGGGGAAATCTAATAAGGCCTGTTTCAGCCTGCAGGCTGAAGGTTGCATACCACTGAACTAAAATGATGAAGCCATCTAGGAAAATAACCTATTAACTGGAGCTTTGCAGCTATGGCCAGGTAATTCACTGTCTATTCCCATTTCCAGCCATTTCTGTGTGATCCTTTTAAAATTGTGCTTTACCTCTGCACCAGTTGTGGATCACTTGATTTGACCATGGTTGGAAAAACCTGGTTGTATAAGCTCTGCCAACCCAACTCCCCTTTCAACCTCATGAATTCCATGTGGATGGTAGACAGGGAAACGGTTCTTACTGGAACAGTATGGCTGGTATTTGCAAGCCACAATCTGGTCAAAAAGAGGTCTGTAGGCAATATCACATTCAAAAACATCAAGTCCAAATGATGGAAAGGGAGGTTGAGATAGTTCCATCTGAAGGACCTTCACTCCAGCTATGAGGAAGTTAAGGATGATGACCGAATATTGGGTGGAGATCTGTTTTCTGGTGGTGGCGGCGGCAGCGCTGAGGGGAGCGGGAGGCAGCGTGCGACCTTCCGCACCATCGTCCACAAATCAGTCCGGAAGCGTTTGATGGAGAAGCAATAGATGAGGGGGTCGATGCAGCTGTTGAGGCTCAACAGAGCCACACTCAGCATGTGTAGGTTGTCCAAGAAAGACGGAGGGCTGCAGAAGGAACTGGCCATGCGATCAGCCACCCAGGGAACCAGAGAAAGATGGTAGGGCGCCACACAGACCACAAACACCAGCAGCATGCCCAGGACCATTGCACGTGCCCGCCGGCGGTGCCCACCTTGGCAGGTGCCGGCTGAGGCCGAGAGAGATCTCATGATGGACATGTAGGCCCCTAACACAACCAGGAAGGAGGCTGCAAACAGAACCACCATGGCGCAGGCATAACTCCTCCTCCCCGAGTGTTGTTCAAAGCATTTCATGCTAATCGCTTCCACCTGGTAGGTCTGCTGGGTCAACAAGGAGGGGACTGCACAGGCAAAGCACAGCAGCCAGGCCACAGCGCAGCCCACTATCGCCCCCAAGGGCCTATTCAAAGCCATCTCCAGCTTGGCAACAGTACAGTAGCGGTTCAGGCTGATGAGCGTCATGAAGGCCATAGCACTGTAGGTGGCCAAGTAGTAAGTGGCTCCAGCCAAGCGGCAGAAGGCCTCCGGCAGCTCCCAATGCCCCTCCGCCAGATAGTAAGGGATCCAGAATGGCAGCGTGAGGTTGAAGAAGATGTCCGCCAGTGTCAGGTTGATGAGGTAGATGCGGATAGCCTTCCTCACCCGTCCACTCTGTAAGAAGACCAACAAGGCCGCCACGTTGCCTGGGAGTCCCACACACAACACAAGGCAGTAGACGGCTGGCACCAGGATGAACTGCACAGGGTCGTTGAGCCGGCATTGGCCAACCACCAGCCCGGAGGTGGTGGAGTTGTTCATCCCAATGCTGCCAGAAGAAGAGAAAGGAGGGAGTTTCGTCTCAGACCAAAACAAAGCAAAATCAATGAAGAAAGAAGGGGGAAGATAGGGGGATGGAGAAGGTGGCACACCAGTTTGTGGGTGTTTATGGCTGGCAGGTGGGAAACACCTTGCAGATGGATAGTGTGGGTAGATAGCTAGATCAACTGACAGGACAACCTGAATGGATGAATGATGGACAGGACACTTTTTTAGTGAAAGGACATGGTGGGTTAGTACATGGATGATCAAGGCGATGGATGGATGGATGGGCACAGACAGAAAAGGGATGAGCAAGATAGGCAAGATTGAAGAAACCAACACACACACACACACACTGCAATAATCCTCAGAAAGTTTTAAGCACAGGAAAAGCCCACTTGCATTCCAGGAAGTCTGACTCTCTCTTTCCAGCACGCCGCTCTGATGCTTGGAAGTTTCTTCTGGAGGAAAGAGTAGCACAGCTGCGAGGAGATGCCTCCGAGAGCTGCCACCCCTTGGTGGAGACATGGCTCCTGGCTCCAGCCAGCAGCTGCCGGGGCTTAGCGCCGGAAAGTCCCGCGCCTCTCCAGCTCCCAACACAGTTCACCTGTTCTTATCCGAGTCTCACTGCCAAGCCAGAGCACAGCTGAAGCGGCCGGGAGGAGCTAAAACATTTAGCTTGGTGAAATCTCCTCTCCCTCCCTCCCTTCCTCCCTTCCTCCCGCTCTCTTTTTCTCTCTCTCTCCTCCCCAACTTTGGCAGAGAAAAAGGAAATGCAATCCAAAGCATGGATCGGCTAATCAAAGCAAAAAGTAGTTCAAGGTTTATTTTCCTTGGGTCAGAACAAAAGGGAACTAGGGGCAAGGTGGGAATTGAAATTGTGGATGTCAAATTCAAATATATATATTATTCTTGCAACAAAAATCCAGCTGAAAATTACCCCATCGAGGTTGAAGAAAGGAAGGTAGTTGTGGGTTTAATAGTAGCTCAATTATTATTTCACACACACACACACACTCCCACCAATAACATCATCAACTGTTTCTTGTCTGGTGGAGTGGAGAGAAAGTTGATTTGGCTTTTCAATAAGGAGGTTTAAAAAAAAACAGCAAATACACCTGACACACAGACATTTTAACAGAAAAAATACCTAGTTCTTCATTAGCAAAATGTTTTATACTAAACTGGTCCTACACACAAACATGAATTAGCCAGCATTTTACAAAATAGCTTTGGGGTGATTGTATCTTGCTGCCATACAGTTCTGCAAGGGAAACCACAACAGAATGAAATAATTTTGAACCAGACTGGTGTCTTCTGCCGTTTTGCCCAGTTGCTCACACCTGAGCACACTCGCATTGGAGAAAATCACAGGCATCATTTTTCCAAGATCCCTCTAACATTCCATATCAAGCCTTCCTGAGTGTACATAACACGTAAACAATAAAATAAAAGCTAAATAAGTAGTAGTCTGAATTGGTCCCAGTTATAGTTGATGGATCTTAGAGGTTGCCAACCTTTCTCACTGTCCTTGCTCCTGTGCCTTTAACAACAGTTTGGCATGTAGATCTTGAGCAGGTGGAGGGGTTATCCCCCCCCATGCAGTTACCATGTGATACCACCTGCAACATTTATTTGGGTCAAGCTGCAGAGGAGCAAGGACAATAAAAAATGTTGGGGAATTCAGTGAATCTATTGCACAGAAATGAGCTCCAGGGCAGAGTCAATATCTTTCCGGAGCAGAGATGGGTGCTCCTAAATCAGCTTAGGTTCCATTCTTACCAAACAAATGCAGTCAAAATCCTGGCGAGCGTGGCACAGTGTGTCTCGATGCAAATCTGCCTTTCTGTCTCTGCTTCCAGCAAGCCAAACTACCCATGCACAAGAAGCCCACTTAAAGCCCAGCTTTCTGCAACATGCTAGCAAACGACTGTCATCATTTTTTGTGGTTATTTATCACAACTGAGTCATTTCGGTACCAGCTGGGCAAAACACTGCAGGGATAGAGCAGGCAGGTGGAAACAGTTGTCGATTTACAGTATTCATAAAAGTTTTGAAAATCCAGCTTTGGTGGCGCAAAAGTAGCTGGGAGGGTTTTTTGTTTTCTTCTGTTGGCTCAAGATGTAAAAATGCAGGGTCAGGGGAGCTGGGCTTCAAAGCGAAAAGGGTGTGGGGTCTCATGGGGGGAATCCCATTACAAAGGGTTAATTGATGAGATGGTTGAGATCTTTAAAACGGGACTGAGCCTGGGTCTTGAGGAGGGCAGCTTTTCAGGGGGATGAAAGCACAGTTCGAGTTCAAATGGGAGCTACACTTTGTCTGCCAGAAAGTTATAAACCTCTGCATATGTGCACATGTGGCTTCATCTTGCCATGGCTGCAGAGGTGTCCTCAGGGCAGGGGACAAAGCATGACAGCTAATGCTAGCTTGGTCCTCTGTGATTTTGTCAAAGCCCCTTTTCATTGAATCATAGATTTGTAGACTTGGAAGGGACCCTGGGGATCATCTAGTCAAACCCCAGCAATGCAGGAATATGCAGCTATCCCATACAGGAATCAAACCTGCAACCTTGGCGTTATCAACACCACGCTGTAACCAACTGAGCTATCCAAGTTGTTGGCCATCATTTTATCATGTGGGAGCAAATTTCATACTCCGACTTTCTGGCATAGCCCCTGTTCTATGGGTGGGGCTGATTAGAGTTGTAATCCAAAATATCCGGAGGGCACCAGGTTGGGGAAGGCCAACGCATATGTACCCACAGCAATGGGGTGGAGATAGCATTGTTGGTTTCATTCAAATCATTTAAATTGAAAGAGGATGCTAGGTCACTCTGGACCTGTGGCAAACTTTGGGCTCTCAAATTTCAGCAGCACCCTGTGCAACGCCAACATTCAGCACCCCCTCTTGCCTTCCATTATACTTTCTTGTTGTGGTACCCCCTGCAATGCCCTCTCAGCTCAACACCCAGTGTAGGAGAACCAGTTGCACTTCCTAAATCTGCCTCTGCTCTGGACCATCCAGTATAAGCATCAATCTTGACCATCAGGTGTTCCCAGGCTAAGAGTTTATGGCATTGCCCAGTCATCATTCTTCCCCGCCCCAAGCTATATATCTTTCCACACTTCAGCCAGTGTACCCTTATGTCATGGTTCACTCCCTTTTTGCAGAACAAAGAGTGGCAGTTCTAATTTTAAAACCAAGCATGGTTTTAACCGAGTGCTTAAGAAACCAAGGCTGGTGATGGCTGCTTTAGCATCTAAAACGGCACCTGGGGCTATAAAGCTCCCTCCAACTCAATAACTAGACACACAATCAGGCAAATCCTTGCAGCTCCAATAGCCCACTTCACCCCAGTTGGCCCAGCTGACCCTTCCAAAAATATTTCAGTGCTTTCTCCTTGGAAGTGGTGGCTGGTGCCCCATAGGGCAGAAGGCAAGGAGGCCAACAGTAGGTGGCGCCAGAGCCAATGACAGGCAGAGCCAACTACAGTGGTACCTTGGGTTAAGAACTTAATTCATTCTGGAGGTCCATTCTTAACCTGAAACTGTTCTTAACCTGAAGCACCACTTTAGCTAATGGGGCCTCCCGCTGCTGCCGCGCCATTGCCGCACGATTTCTGTTCTCATCCTGAAGCAAAGTTCTTAACCCGAGGTACTATTTCTGGGTTAGCGGAGCCTGTAACCTGAAGCGTCTGTAACCCGAGGTACCACTGTAGTTCTAGTTCGCTTCCCATCCTCCTCCCTGCTGAGTTCTACAACAATGAGACTATACACACACATCCTTTTTTTTTTTTGCACGTTCATGATTTGTGCTCTTGATGCCATCAGCGAGGTCACACACGATCTCACTTTCAGTATTGTTTGTTTCTGCATTGGGGAAGCAATACAGAACTAATGCAGAATAAATCCAACTGAAGCATTTTAGTTGCGTCAATAACTTGTTGCGGAATACGCCCAAAATAAAAGAGCAGATTGGCGGGGCCCAGGAGGAACAAGCTGGTGGGTAGTTTCATCCCTGGAACTGGCTGTAAGTAGAGGGCAAGCAGGTGGGAGCTGGCTGGGGGCAGAGTGAGGTTGTTGGCGCAGCACCCCGTTTACTCTAATGAACCATCCACTATTGCTCCTCGGCACCATCCTGCTGACCCAGGAAAACCTCAAAGTCTCACTCTAGGCATGGACAAGTCTGTCGGTTTTGGTTTCTTATTTTCCTACTCTTAAATTCAGTTCTCCACATTTCAACATCACTTTGGTGGGGTGGGACCTCAAGAAAACTCACCAGCATTTTAGTCTCCATTTCTCCTACCATTCACATTTTTTGCTATGCAATTTTCCTTCCGTGTATGTTATTTTCCCCAATGTATCCATTCTTATGCACAGCAATCGCATTTTTGTACACACTTCTTTGGCTGGAAAACCGCATTGCAAAATTCGGACAAGTGCGCCTTTTGGAGGATGGTTGCGCTTTGGTTCACATATTGTTTCAGAAACTGGGAATTAAGTAGATTTGCCTTTCAAGGCCAACTGTATCGAATTTCTCCTGCATCCCCAGAAGGAAGGCAGGTGGGGGCTGCCTGAGGGCAGACTAAGGTTAGTGGGGCAGCACCTCATTTTCCCTAATAGACCAGCCTCCAGCACATCCTTGGCACCTCCCTGCCAACCCAGGAAAACCTCCAAGCCTCTTCCAAGTAACCTTCTTACCCTTCCACGGTGGTCTGTATTCCCTGCTCCCACGGTGCGTTCCTCTCAAGAAATCCTGCTGTGTTCTCTCTGATGTGCGAGTCTTGATTTGCCCCCCTCCCCCGTGGCCTCCCTCTATCTTTCTCCCCACACGCACAACCCTCCCTGTCAGAGGTTAATCCTTGCAATTGTGCAGACAGCAGCTGGCTGTGGGGCAGTGCACCTGTGCATGTATGTAAAGCGGATTTCCCCAAAGGAAACAGGAGTCAGAGTGGCATTGCTAGGGGTGGGGGGACACCGGGAGGCCAATGAGTCCAGCCC